ATGTATCATAGTTGAATTCACTCACTCCATCATTCTCCTTTATCTCCCTTCCTCCTATTCCTGGCATAGTTTCAGCAGGTCTCATTTTTCCATTTACATGCACGAGTACAAAATATTTCCATCATCCACCTTCCCACACACTTTCCTTACAGCCTCCCCCTTCCCACTGGTACCAACTTCCAGATAGGACCTGTTTTACCTTCCTGTTCTCCAATGTTGAAAAAAGACATTTTTATTTGTTTAAGATAATTACAAAGGGAATTTCATTGTGATACTTCCATGTATATATGTATTGTAACTTGAATTGTTTCACCCCCTCTTAATTTTCTCCTTTCTACTTTAGTCCCCTGCATAAATTACTGTGATTTCAACAGTTTTAAAAATTCTGCATTCATTCGTGTATAGAAAGTACATCAAACATATTCACTTTCTTAACTTCCTTCTTTTACCCTCCTTCCTCCATTAGTGACCTCCCCTTAGTATGATCTATTTATCACAAGATTGCTTGTATATGCATATATGCATTAAGATTCCACATATGCGAGAAGGATTTTTCTCACATTCTTTATCTGCTTATTGGCCTCATCTAAAAGTCACATGGTAATCAATTAGACTATTTTTAGTTGGGAGGAATCACTTATAAATATAGTATCTACTATTCAGTAAGAATTGATTTTATTCCTCTAAAAGATATAAAATTCAGATAAATAAGCTAATTAAAAAACAAAAGTTATATACTGTGCTTCCCCTCCATCCTGTTCTGTGGAGTTCTGAGAGTACCAAACTTGTTGACTGCAAACAAATGTATATAATTTTATTGCAGTTAAACATAGTTTGACAAATGAGAGTTGGGATAGAGAGAATGTCAGTGAAAAATTGAGTGAATGGAGGAAACCAGCTATTGGCAAGTAATTTGTAACATTCTTGTAAAACACAATTCAGTATTTAAGAAAAACAAATTTTAGATTCCAGAATCACAAGAGTTAGTACTCAATGAAAAATTTGTTTGACTACTGATGAACAAAGGATATATTATTTAGTAAAGTAACTCAGATTAAAGGATATTCCTTGTTTGAATACAGTGGTGTCTTCATTCATCCATAAGATTGATTTGAGCAAAGGTCATTGTGAACTAGAGGTCTAAGGATATTTCTTAGACTTATTTATTTGTTTATTTGAAGTTTTTGCAGTGCTGGGAATAGAAACCAGGGCCTCACATATGCTAGAGGAATGTTCTACCATTGAGCTACATTCTCAGCCCTGAAATAGTCTTTTTAATATATTTTGTTGTTTTGTCTACATTACTTTTGTTGTTTTGCATAAAACCATTAAAATTATCTTGATTTTTGAATAACATTTTGAATTAGCATTCAATGCCCATTTTCATTCAATTGGGAGCCTAAGTTTTTTGCCCTTATTTTTTTTCACTTTTTTAAAACTTGTATGAGTGTTAAGTATGATATTTAGTTCAATTTCAAAACTGCTTATTAAACTTAATTAGAATTTATTACAATGATATTTTTTAAATTACCCTTTTATCCTAGCTTGACATTGATATTAGTTTTTTAAGGTTCCTTTTCTTTTTTAATTGTTTCTATACTTTTTCATATGTGTTATACATTGCTTGTATAAAAGAAAATATGCCTTTTTGTCCAAATCTGTAAAATTGGTTTAATAAATGTCCAAAAAGAAACTTAGTCACATTTCTCTACCAACATTGTTGAGATGATATGAGAAGAATTAATCTGACATTTTTAAATATTAAGAACATAGAGATAAAATGTAAATAAACCTGAAATTGCAAACTTCATCAAAATGATGAAGACTTACTGGAATGCCCTTTCCAGGAAACTCTGAGAAGCAGGATAATTACTAACTCACTGTTACAGAGTTTTATTCTATTTTTTTGCTTATGGTATAAAAGCTTAGAGATCCTTTTCAGTTGTGGTTTGTGGGTATAATTAAACAAAAAGTGACAAAATATGTGTAGGCATCTCTTTTGCCAATATTATGATTTTGTTATCTCTTTTATGTGTTTATCACAATTTTTGCATATTTTGTTAAAAACATTTGAAATGTTAGATAATTATTCCATTATTAAAAAATCAATAGATGGTATTAAGTTTTATTTTGAACATCCCATTTTAGTAAGGGACATAATGGTGGCACTGTAGATCCTGAAAACTAGGCCTACATAGTTAATTACCTGAATTACCTTAAGTAAGTATCTTTAAACCTGATTCCATTAGAGATAAACAAAGAGACACACAAAGAAAGAAAGAAAAGTGGTAAGTAGCTGAGGTGATGGATAAGTACCTCGATTGTGGTGTGTAGATGCTGATCAAATCATCAACTGTATATATTAAATATATACAATATTGATCTGTCAAATTTGCATCAATAAAAAATGCTGGAAAAATAAGCATTTGAAAGAATGAAAAAATTTTAAAGAAAGGAAATCTTACATCCCTCTGATGTAAACAGATGAAAGAAAGCTGCCAGGTTTGTAGGAAAACCTCTCCTGGCGGAAACTGAGACAGCTCCTAGGTAACCCTGTGGCCTGAGGCAGAGTTTGAAGACCATTGTAGAAAATCTCTATTTCCTCCCGGGTCTAAAATGCTATGTATGGCTGGGCAAAGTAGAACACTCCTATAATCCTAGCACTCAGGAGGCTGAAGCAGGGGTATCCCTAGTTCAAGACTAGCTTGGGCTACATAGTGAAACTCAAAAAACCTGAATAAATTTCTATATGATTACTACATAAATATATCTTCCTCAAGGACAATCGTTAGATTTACATTATTTCCATCCCTTTAATTTTATACACGTTTCTTAATTGAAAGTCTATTTGTAATATCACATGGAATTAAGTATTTTTTCCACTCATAGTAATGTAAGATTTTGTTGTCTAGCTTACATCACATGCAGCTTGAAATATCTACTCATAACTTTTCTGTCTAAATATGAGTTTTCAAGGAAATGGGGTAGTAGATAGCAATTAATCTATGAAAAAGAAGAGCAATTCAACAATGGGCTCTCTAAGAAATGATTGAACATATTTCTTCCTTTTACCAAAACTCTATGTACCATTCTTTGCTTTTCCTTGCCCCATAATTTAGAGTTGACCAAGATCCCTTCCCCTCAATCTGATTGTTTTTGGGGATCTGGCAACAATCTGCTTTTCCTCTTTCTTTCTCTGTTGCTACTGAAGCTTTGTTGATCTAATTAGAAAAGGGGGAAGGTTTCCTTGAACAGTGGATTATTACTTTTGTGTTACTCTTGGGAGAGGTTAGCTGCTAGCATCTTATTTGAGAATGCTAGATTTATTTCTCAAAGAGAAATGATGTCATAAACATATACCAGAAACTGTAGAACTTTTACTATATGGCATAATGCACTTACTTGTAGGTGAATGGCACAATGTGTGCTGGTCTGGAAATCTGTTGACTATTATAAATGCTATTTCTGTAGAAAACTGAGTTCTGTATTTCAGGTAACCGATGTATAGATGAGCACAGAACGTGTATATTTGGGTACTGACCATATTTTTTTAAAAAATTTATTGACAGGTGCAGATATTCCATAATTCTGCAATCATAAGAAAGTATCAGCATTTTTCCTTTTGCAAGCAAAGTGAATTTAGCCTAAAAGACTGAAAGGGAGGGAAAACTTTCAGGGCTAAGCCATGGTTTTATGTTTTTGTTTTTTAGATGTAGAAGGAACGGGAGGCAATATAATTGATAGGTGTGACTAAGATCACATTAGGATTTGAGAAATGGACAATTGTGTCATGTAAATAGCAAGTAAAAAAAAAATCAAGCCAGTCTTTCATAAAATTTTTAATCTGAGGTGTGCTTGTTTTCCGAAACTACCTCTACTAAATCTTTTGTCAGTGCTGAAACTAGAAGGCAGAAAAGCTTCTAGTGCCACAGCCAACTGCAGTGTAGCCAGAGAAACAAGCAACGAAAATAGAACACCAGGATCGCTGTGCGTGGGTGAGGCAGAGACCACATTGAGAGCAAAAGCTTCCAGTATTATTTTAGAACCGACACAGAGCTCTGCACTGCTCTCCTCTCTCCGCCAAAAACACACGCTACAAAAATAAAACGAAATTAAAAGTATGCGCATTTGCCCTCTTGGAGTTATGAGTCTTTATGTTTTCTTGCCTTCCTTTCTTTGGCTTCAAGTCGCCAGTATAAAAACACAGTGTATAAAGCAAGCTTAGGAAGGAAAGAGTTAATTGCTTTTAAGGCCCTGCAATAGAGAATTATGGTTTGAAAGATAGAGGCTGGACAGCTGGGTTTGCTAGGGTATTTTTAAATGCATTAATGCAGGCTCCAATCACTCGGCCATGCTTGACCTATTTTTGGCTCAGGCCGACCATTGTTCTATTTCTGTGCTTGTGGGCCATGCTGTTGTTGATTCATATGCAAATGGTTTATCACTAGCTTTAGCCAACTTGAGCTGAGAGAGACTGAGAAGGGGAAGAGAGAGACACAAACAGATAGGAGAAGGGCACCAGCTCCAGCCACTTGCTGGACTGAGGGTTCTTGCAAGGAAGCCCTAGCAGCCTGAAGAACTAGAAGCCAGGTTTAATTAGTTTCTTTTTCTCGTGGGGAAAGTTAATATTTTTCTACTTTTTCTGACAAAGAAATCACCCCGAAGCACATTCCTGTTTCCCACCTGCTTTTAGTTTCCGGGATAACCTAGAACTCCAGAAAGCTATAGCATCCACTCTGTTCTTTGCGCTTTACACACAGGTTGGTAACATGGGGAAAGTATCCAGGTCTTTTTAAAAAAGTGTGTGTCCATCTGAGCAGAAAGGAACTCATTGTTGAAGTTGATCCTCTGCTGCTTCTCCTCGGGGAGGAGGGAGGACCAGCCAGGGTAGCTCCTGGGGCCAGTGCACTGAGCGGTGATGAATCTTTCATGTAGCTGAAGTAAGAGTGACTAGAATATGCTGCAGACAATTTACGAGAGTGACTCTTGCTTTTCCTCAGATGGGGTGGCTGGACGGGAGCAGCTCTTGGCTCAGCAGAGGATGCACAGCATGATCAGCTCAGGTAAGGTCCTATTTCCTGAAGAGACGTTTTATGTTTGAAAGGGGGCTGGCTGGGAAATGCAGCTAAGAAAAGCACCTCTTGAGGAATTGCTGCTTTTTCGGCATGATGATGTTTTCTTGGTATCGCTGAAGGGTTTAACTTAGATCCCTTCCATTAATGTTTCTCTGCATATTCTGAGTCTGTTTGGAGACGGGCTACTTCTGAATGAAATTGCAAAGTATTGCTTCTGAAGAAAGATGAGACTGAGATAAGTGAAATGTAGTTGAGGGTGTTTTGCCTTACTATGCAACTAGAGAAAGGAGACCTGTACTGATTGTAAGCATATGCTAATAGGACTTTAAAATCAGGTAAATTCACACTGGGGCTTCAGTTTAAATTGCAGCCTCAGCCAGCCTGATGATTTTATATTTACAGTGTGCATACAGAAGCACATCTATTTATAGACCTACCTTCTGAAATGTGTTTGCTGTGGAGTTTTAAAGGTAGTTTTACTTTTTCCCTAATGTGTCTTTTTTCTCAGCCCCAAATGAAACTGTTTAGGATGAAATAAAATGATTATTACCAGATGCTTATTATAAATTTTTGCAAAAACATTTGGGAAGTCTAGCATTGTTAGGCAGATGCAGGGGCACACAGACACAGAAATGTGTTAGAAGCAGGTGCAGCGCTTTAGTTTCTGGTCTGTGTGTGTGTGTGCTGGTGCCCTGAAGGATGTGTGTGAGGAATGGAGCTCATCAGCTTCATCAGTTTATGTTTGCTGAAGGAGCCTGTGCCTCAGGCAATATCATTTACTTTTTGTGCTTGATTTCTCTAACTATTTCCTATAGCTTTGGTACTCCATTTCTGACCTCTTCTGAATGCAGAGACTGAAATTGCTTTAAAGTCTTCCTTGCAGCCTCTGAGTTCCCATGTGGGCTTAATCGTAATTATAGATCACTGTCTGGATTTCCTTGATAAGAATACATCAGAAAGGAGTGTTTACATAGTAGAGCTAGGTGTGAAAGAAATATTCCACAGGTTGGCTCCATGTCTGCTTTGGTGTTAATACACCTTCTCATCTGCAGATTCTGTTTGAAACAAGTTTTCTTTAAACTTCTGTTAGTCTTGATGATTTTATGATCTTTCTGTTGACTTAATCTTTTATGAAATCGGAATAAAATGTCAATTTTGTATAATTCAGTGTGTCACATCAATGACAGGAATTATATTGAGTACTGTCTGTATGTGACAAATGTAAACCTACCAGAGTTGTAATACTGTACTATCACTGTGGCTTGGGAACAGGTCAACAGGCATGTCTTGGATGAACCTGGTCACCTGGCTTTTTGTTTTTAAAATACGGATGAACTCTTTGGAAATAACTATTTCAGTTATTGTTTCGGCACTATGCTAGATCCTTTCAATCTTGGCCTCTGTGTACAAATTGGGTATATTCTTTCAAAGAGTAGCAACACAGTCAAACTTTCCAAGTAGCAACTGTCTGTTGTCACTGGGGCTGGCTACGGTTGTTAGCCAGCTTCACTCTTTGATACTCAAAGTACACAACTTTGCTCTCATTCCAGTTGAGACTGTTGTTTCCCTGACATTTAATGATTTGTATGCAAAACAGTAAGATTTTCAAACAGGGAAGCACTTGACAGTGCCTATGCTATTGCCACTTCTACAGGAAGCAACATTGAAGTATGAACTGTTAAACTAAAAGGCACCCTCAAATGATGATCTCCCAAACCTGTCTGATACAAATAGGGAAGTTCTGAGTTCTACTTATTTTTAAAATTTGAAACATATTGCAGCCTTCTTATGATGTGCTATAATATTTTATTTTGTTTCATGTCATATGTCCTTACGTTTCATTTACCTACTCTTTCTTGTGTACTTTCTGTGAGGTACAGATTTTCAAGCTTGGGAGTCACTACGAGCACACTACAAAGTATGAAGCCTGGATTCTACCCCTCAAGTTTCTGTTTTAATTGGTGAGGGAACATCATAGACATGGGAGTTTTAGATTTTCCACTTGTTTCAACCTTCAACAAGAATTGCTGCTGTGAGGTTAGGAAATGGATGGTGATGCTGGTGAACCACTATCAGTAGGGTTTGCCCTTTCAGTTAATGGCAAAATTAGAAGTGTGCTTGTCTTAATTTAGTTATAAATGATATTCATCTCCCTTTTGGACTAGTGGCTTAGTTGTGATTTGTAGGCCCAGAAGTAGATGGAGTTTTTGGATCTGGAACACAGTAAAGATATAGGCAGAGTGGAAGAGAGAGCAGTCAGAGCCCTATGAGCCAAAAGCTCTGTGTTCTCCCATGAGCTCTGCTGCCAGCCAGTTGTGTAACTGCTTTGCTCATCTTCAACCTGAAGACTAGTCCTGTCCTTTTGCTTATCTCTTGGCATTTTTGTGAGGTTCAAATGTAACAGCTTAAAGTGTGTACTTACTCTTATTGTTATTTTTAGTGAATGAATCTGGGATCTTAGCTCTGCAATGCTATGCCCTATCTTGCTGAATAAGCAGATGAGTTAGATTGTAGATCACACAGGGAAATGAATTTTTATTCATAATCTTATGAATAAACCATATCTTATCAGCTATTTACTTATCTTATGTATCAACTATTTCTTTGGTTATCCTTGTCTAATAAATAAATCCTTTCCTTATGTGAATTGTGATGGTACATCAGGGTAGCTAGTGTATGTACATGTGTGTATATACTGTGAAATGTCTCCTTATATAATAATGAAGGCAAAGGAGTTGCTGAACATGTCATCAATCAGTGAAACTCCAATGGCAGGTTTCTTGAGTCTGTTTCAAAAAGTTAGTTTTATTATATAATTGTCATTATCAATTGCTCTTGAGTTGTCATTTGTTGTTTCAGTTAGACAGTATATATCTATTATTTTTTGTTCAGAGTGCTTCATATATGATTGAATTATATGTGCTGTATGTGATTGCATGTTTTCCTAATACTCACTGAGTCAGGCTAGACATCTTAATCTTGGGTAGAATTAAGATGTTCTATAGATAGCTACTTCTATAATATAGCCTGCTAATGTCTTATTAATTAAAATTTTATAATATTGAATCTCGATATGCACTAGGAATGATACATTTTCCCAGGTACATATCCATTTTTGTGGCTTGTGTGGGCCAATATAAGTGATAACTGGCAGAAAATGAAGCAAGTACAAATATTGACTCAGGTCTCTCAGCAGGAGCTGGCAGAATTCGGGGTGTTTTCTTGTTGCCAAGCATCTTACTTAATACGTTGGACAGCAGAGCTGTCCACACAGTACCGGGCCAATTATGATGAAGGAACTCCATCCAGTTTATACAGAATGAACAAGGGATACATTTATAACAAGGAAAACTCATATTTTCACACATATTCTTATTTTAGGTCATAAATGAAAAATATTTAAATTTATGTCCCTGAATTTTTTATTAAAAACAAATCCTCATCTCTTCAGAATTCTTTTGTTCCTTGATGGGTAATACTGAGAGGAAGGGAATATTTTGGATCCAGTCATCACTTCTCTATTTGAAAAACATAATTTAATGATGAAAATATAAGTCTTTGAAACACTGCTGTCATGTGTCATCACTTCTGGTATTCCCTGTAATTACTGTTTTGCCATTCCCTAACTCAGATTATCTTCACTAATAAGTCTGTTATCAATGGGAGAGTTGAGAGGCCTCAATCAAAAACTAGTTATAAGAAGGTCCATTGAGAATGGGGACAAGGATGAGTATTTCACATTTCTGAGGATCGCACAAGTGATGCAATTGGTATTATGTCTGTTAGGTAATAAAATTCTATAAAACTCCTCAGAAGTCTGAAAGAATTCCAAATTTTGAATTAAAAAATATTCTAAATGGTGATTTTAATTTTGGGGATGAGAGATTTGATAATGTACCACATAATCTCTCACCACCAATAGATACTGAAGCAGGCTCCACAAAAGTATAAGCCAGCAAGAAAACACATGTTCCATGTGTCACAATATTCAACAAAACATGAGCAAAAATGATATAATCTATGCAGCATATTTCTGACACAAAGAGGCAAGGAAAAATATGGAAGCAGGAGTCTTGATCTGAACAGAGACTTATCTCCTGGGCCTTCTTAGAATTTTTCTGGCAAACTGACAACTTCCTGAGGATTTTAACATTTTCAAATCTGGAGAGAAGCAAACTGAATAGATATTCTCACCATTTTTAGTTATTCTTGTTTTCCCTTGTGACTAGGTCTGGTAGAAAGGATTCAGGGAGAAAAAGTAGTGAAAATGGGGAGGGTGAACAAAAATGGTCTCTGGAGATTCAAAAGCCACAGTCTAAGTTGAAAATGACCCATAGTTCCTTAAATAAGATATCCTTTTCCCAACTAGCTTAGGGCTTCCACCAAGAAGAAAAACATCAACTCATGAACCCATGGAATTCTCTAATATTTGCTTCCCATAAACAGCACACCTTAGTGAGAACATAAATTCCACAAAACAAGATCCAAAGATGGGAATGATAGGGTAATAGAATGAGATGAATATGGAGCTTTAGATCTAAGGAAATGACTTGAAAATAAAAAAATAAATAAATATAGAAAAAACAGTCACTAGAAGTAGGAGGAAACAGGATAGACCTGGTGAAAACCTTTACTGACAAGAAGATAGGCTAGAAGTTATCAGAGTGAATGAAAAAGGAAAGTAGATTAATGTAATTAGAGAAAAGTGAATACATTTGAAAGACAAAGATCAACTAACAAGATTATTCTTGTCTCAGAAATTGATATTCCAGAACAATGACACAGAAAATATGTTTGCAAAGGTGAAGAAGGATAATTTCATGGAAAAAGAAAGAAAGAATAATAAATCTTCAGATTGAAAGAGCTACCATATTTTGGAAAAATTTGGTGCAAATGTTCAGTACAGTCATTTCCTGATTGGGTTATCAAATGATTAATCAATTATTCATACGTTCAGGCTGGGAAAGCAGAGCCTGTGGGGGGGAGGG